CATGGTGACACCCTTTTTAGAAGCACATTATGATTCATTTTCAGCTTCATTTGTTAGGGGTTTGTCTGGGTCCCGCAGCCTGACTTGGTGACATTTCCCCACTGCAAGGTTCTCCAAATATCCCCAGTAATGAAGACATTTCTACGCACAACTTTTGTCAGGTGACTCCTCAGACTTTGTGTTAGTTTTACCTCTGGATTCAGCTAGGCCATTGCAAAACCTTAAATTTTCTTCTTAAGTCAATCTGTTGTTGAGACGGTTTCATATTTGCATTCCCCAGTGGTTTCTGTAAGCCAAAGTCCCTCTTTATCCTCAGGTTACTTGCAGACATGAACGTTTGGGGTGAAAAGCTACTGGCATTTCGACCTACAAATTATTCTACCCGCTGAGACAAAACGTCTAGTTTCGGAGCCTGGTTCTAACCGTAACCCGGTTTCCCCAAAAGGTTCCTGGTGCAGAGGTTTTTGTTTTTGAAGAAAAAGTTTCAGTCAAACAAAAGCAGAGATTACAGCAGATTTCGTCCTATCAAGGCAATTAACATTTTTAACCTGTTAAAACTACCTGTGTGTTGTGATCAGCCCTCTCTGTCGAGTTAATGTCTCAAATTTTCTCCAATTATTGATGATGTGCATGCTAGGCAATTCTTTTGCACTTTGTACAGCGAGTTTATTTGGATTCTTTGTAAACTTTGTAACACATCAAGATTGACCACATCAAGTTGCAAACGTTTGCAAATAATTCTTCATTTTTTTGAGGCTCAAAAAGCTGGTATTGTAACAGAGGCGTGTAAAGTTTGTGTAAAAGCTTTGCATGCTGCTGCAACAGTATGCCGAGGCAACACCATGCTGCTTTTGTCTGCATGTGCAGGAAGCCAGCTTTATAAGAGCTCACCAATATAAAACACTTAATTAAAAAAAAAAAAAGCCCCCAAGACTTCCTGAAGACTCATGGTAGTGATCAAGCCTGAATTTATAGACCAAATAACCCACAGCGCTTTGTCTCTTTAATAAATATTCAAAACAGGTCTGCAGGGGCTGGGAAGGAAATGCCTTCCCCACAAACAACGGTTAGCAAACACAGGCCTAATAAAGAGCCGGGATCTTGCAGAGGAATTCGGTTTCGGCGTGTTTTCGCAGTTCCTCGCAGGTATTTCTTTTCACGACAACTCAGATTCAATCAGGTCGCCTCACATCGTCGAACCAGTTAGCCCGTGATCAGGGTGTGTATTCCACCAAAAATAGTAACAAAGCTGACATTTCCCAGAGCAAATGATTCTTTTTTATGTGTAACTAAGGGCTTTGTAAGTCATACTGCTAAAACAACAAAACAAAACAAAAAAAAAAAATAACTATGAGAGAAATAATTGTTTACTGGGGTAACTTTGAGTCACTCCTTCACAGAGTAACCATGTCGGAGTCTGAGGTTACGGCAGGTCGGTTATTCAGTACCGAGCAAGGACATATTTAGTAGGAAGAAGGTGCAGCACTGCTTGTGAAACTGAAGAGGAAAGCCTGACAGAAACCCCCCGACGACCCTCAAGCCATTCCAGCCTTCGAGCCTCGGGATGAAGGAGAAGCGCCCCAATAAAAACAAACTTCCCCTCACTCCACACATGTAAATGCTGAACTTGCGCCCTGATATGTTTGACAGGGCAAACAGCCACACGCCCACTGTTAATTCAGCCTCACACCACACACAGGCGTAAGCCTAAGCTTAAACACAAACACACACCTACTCGGAACACAAAGACAGGGCGGTCTGAGCTGCACGTTAGGAGAAGATGAGGTGTATCTTATGTCTCTCTGCCCACCTGTTCCTGGTCACCTTGCAATCATACAGATGTCGGCGAGGAGTGAAGGTGGAACCGAGAATAAGCAAAGCAAACCACAATGTTAACAGGAGGCCCTTTGGCGTGCAAACGCTAAGTTGATCGCTCCCTGTCAGATACTAAACCAGATAGGCGTGAATGTGAGAGCGACACAAACACGAGAACTGGTCGTTTCCACATGATGCCTCCTTCCTAACACTTTAAAGGGCAACTAAGTAATAAAGCTATGAAAGATGCATTGTTTGGGGAGGGTCTTGGGGGGGTGTAAATACTGACTATATGAAAAAAACTGCAGCAGAAATGTCAATGCGTCGCTTCTGAAACAAGTACAGGAACAATGAGACGCTTTCATCCTTCAATACATCCAAAGAATTTTAATCTTATAGGACATGCATGAGTGATCTCTGAAGGTCATAATTTGTTCGTTCTACTTGTTAAACCAAGTGTGGCCAATGCACATGCTTTTGAGATGACACATGGATCAAATCTGTAGAAAAACTCAGGAAAATCAAAGAAAGAGAGAGGAAAAAAAGATTTCTTTTAGCTTGCAACTAATAATAAATTACTGCGACAACAGATGACTGCGTAGTGGAGCAGGGACGCACCATAAACAAGCAGACGTCCCTTTGGGCTGCTGCAAAAGTTAACAAAGTCACTGAGATCAAAGTAGGACTCCCCCTTTAAAAAAGCTCATCTTTCCCCTGATTGCTTGTAAGGAACCTCTCACCAAGCAAGTTCAGTCGGTTCATTATCTTATTTACGCAGGTTCTTTTCTCTGTGACGACGACGGCTTTATCTGTCGTCAAGCTGAAACTCCAAAACCCAACCAGATATTTGCAGACCTTCAAAATAAACACTGCAATCTTTCACATTACATTCAACAAATGTTACAAAACAAACAATTTCTAGTAGGGATGCGCAGAATTTAGAGGCCTATTTTCTATCTCCAGGTTTCCTAAAATAAATAAATAAATAAATACATAAATAAATAAATAAATCTCTTTAAAGTTATAGTGAGTTTGAATTGTCATAGCAATGTCAGTGGGCGCAATATTATTACCTCAAAGGATTGCTTGGATGAAATATTGGGCAGGATATTTTACAATAGCATAATACCTTCACATTTCTATATATATTTGGTTAGCTAAATATACTAACTTCTCTTAAAGCTATGTAACGTTTACAAAATACATTTTTTTTTTTATATATTTGTTAAAATGGTCACTATGTTGTGACAGTATAGTATGTGATAGCTCCTCCATCTTTCCCCTGATCTAATACTCTTCTGGAAAATGCACGGCTCCTGACCAAAAACAACCAATCGGAGCCAGGAGGAAGTTTTTAACACCGTCTATCAACTTTGTGCACCGCTGCTCAATTTGCCTCCAGGAAAACTGCTTTCCTGGAGGCAAATTCCCGCTGTCATCGGTTAGCCATGCTAGCTAGCCTTAGCATTTGTGACAGGCTACTTAATATCACACTGATACTGAAAGTGACTTACCCTCAGTAACACTATCAGCACTGAAATTTTTTTGTTGTCGCTGCAGCACGGTGGTGCTTCTGCAAGGTGCATTAGGTGACTGGGATAAGGACTCGTCTGAGTCGGATGAATTACTGTCACTAGTTTATTTTTTCATTATTTCCTCTTCAGTTTACCACACCAAATTTATTCCAAACATGTTCATATGAACATGATAAAACAAACATCTGTTTTTAAGTGATCTTTGACTGGAAATTAAGCCATTCACTAACAGAATATGATTTTTCTTTTGCACAGATATATTATAGCATAAGCACATTTTAGTTCTTATGCGTTTCTCTAACTTAAGAATATTAAAGGTTTTTTTAAAAAAAAAAAAAAAAAAGATAGAGAAAGAATATAAGATAAAATGGACAAACAAATAACATGCATCTGATAATCACATTGTGAGTCTGGTTATTCAGCTCTGTCTGGGCTGAACTATAAATAGCATCACTACCATCACAACTAACATTTGTTTTAAATGCTTCTATTTTTGTACGAGCTTCTTATAACGGGAAGAACTATTTCACTTTTCTTGCCTTGTTCTTTCATTTCGAAGCAGCACAAAGACAGCAAACAGCAACAAGCAATTATGACACATAAACCATTTCACTGCACAGGGGTTATGTAAGCCGAGCAAACAATCAATCAGCAGCCAACGGTTACAGAGCATGACGACACCCGTCTAGAAGCATGCAACGAATCTTTCCAGGTGTCACCCGTCTTTCTATAAAAATGAGGAGAATGAAAAAGCAAACCTTTAAAAGCTGGCATCATGCATTTCAGGGCAAAACGCTTACTGAAATACTGCAAGAAACTTCTCTTATTAAAAGTAGTGGCGGGTTTAGAAGACAGAGTAAAAGAAGTCAGTACAACTTTGCAGATGAGGGATAACTGTGGATAAAGTTTAACCTGACAGCTAAATGTTTCTTAAACCACCTTCTTGCAGCTTTATTAACAATTTATCAAGTTATTTCACTTCCACTCAAATATTTAGTGGTACCAACCCCAACATAAGCTCGACTGCCCAGTTCAGGAAGGGGCCGATGACCACTAACCGGTTTTTAAAATCTCAAGTTGAAATGTGCCATCGTACCGCTCCCACAGCTTGTGCCGAGAACGTTTCAGAGACCAGAGATTTCTCCGCCGTTGAGAGACGCAGAACTACCTCTCCACCGCACACTGCCAGTCAGCTGGCAGAAAGAAAGCTGCTAGACTTTTCCCATGCTCACAACAGAAAAGTGACACTGTTTCCAACAGGGCTACTATCGACAACAGTCTGACTAACAAAAACGGGATTAATCAACCCGTTTCAAATACGCTCCTTAATAAGCACTTAAAACTTACGCCTAATTTGTACATGTTATTGTTTGGATTTTTGCTGAAGCCTTTGTGTCACTATCAATGTCTAATGATCAATACGTTGCCTTATTTTAGCAGTACATTGTGTTTTTCAGCTCTGGCATAATTCACCTCAATTCAACTCCTTAAAGCACAGCAAGCCTCACAACATCTGAAATCCCTGCCTGGATTAAGGCCAAACTCTCCTTATATGCACAGTTTGATGACAAAGGAGCTGGAGCTAAGACAAACATTTTGATTTCAATTACTTAAACCACAAGAAGCCACTTTTGGGCTTTTTTTTTAATTAAAATTTTGCACAAAAAAAAAAGGCTAAATATAATGTATTTATTGTCAATCCATATTACAGGTCAGAGCTAAAGCATAAAGAACAAAGATATTTCCTCCAAAAACTAATTAAAACAGAGAAGTCAACAGAAGAAACAATGAATGAATCACTTTACAAATGTAAGACCGTGGAGGTAATTTAAGACCTTGTATGGAAAGATGTTTCAAGAGTTTGCATAAACTCTTTATTATACAGCGACATACTCATACTGGGCTATGCTTTGACACAACTGGGCCTCATTTTAGTCACTATCATCTAAAGTGACTAAAATGACTTTTAGTTCTTCTACGAGAAGAACTAAAATTTCTGTATGTACTGTAATGACTTGCTGTTAAACACTAACATTATCACTATTTTATCTTCTAAAGGTTATGCAGGATTAAGTCAAACATTTATTTACCTGGCAAAGCTGGAGGAGAAGGAGGAAGAGCTTGAGAAAACCTCACTGGCCCTGCGGATCGCTGAGCTGTCGCCCTGGTTCCGGTTCCAGGCTCCACTGATGGTCGTTACTGGGAGGAACAAGCCAGACACGGGTTTCTGGTCCTTCTCCTGCAGAGCGTCGCTGTTTCTGGCGTTGATTCCAAAGTGGAAGCTCTGGCCCCCCGACGTGCTCACCCCACAGATAGAGATGGGGCTCGAGCCGCTCATTTGACAATACCCCGAAGACGTCTTCTCCTTCTTAATCACGCCCGGTGTGCAGAGCTGGATGAAGCCGGTATCTTTTTCTTTCTTCACCACGGCGGGAAAAGTGGTTGTAGGGGTCAAAGAAGGAGACTTGGACTTGGACTCAAGTGGGCTTGACGCCTTGCTGCTGTTGCAAACACTGGCGAGCGCCCCGGTGGTGCCGACGCTCTCGACCACGGAGGGTTTCACGTCCCTCTCGGTTGCCCCGTCTGCGAGCAAAGAATCGTCTGCCAGCGTGGACAAGAAGGCGTCATCGTCCCCCACGTAAAAATCGGAGGGGGATGCGGTGAGGTCAAACTCCTGAAGGAGATCCAGACTGGTTTCGTTGAACAGTTTCTGGTTCATGTCCACGTCTTTGCCGATGTGGTCAAAGGCGTGGTCCAGATCGTTGGGGTCCTGCTCGCCTTTATCCATGGAGAAATCCTCCGTTTTCACAGCAAATAGGTTGGGATCCGACCCCCCGATGAGGGAGTCCATGGAGGACTGGGTAATGTCTGCCATGCTGGCATCCAACTGGGGCAGGACCTGATGCCCAAAGGTGTTGAAAGTCTGCGTCTGGAACAAGTGCAGCTCTTCAGGCCTCTGATCTTTGGTCAGGCCCCTGGTTTCTGAACTGTCAACCGAGGAACCGATCGTGGCAGGGGCTGAGGCAAGCTCCTCTGGAAGTGGGCTGTTGCTGAGGCCGTTGGTCACCTGTCCAGGCTGCATTAATGGGCTGGATGGAAGAACGACAGAAGGAGGAGAGGTGATGGACATGGCACTGTGAGGAGCCACCTTTAGAAGACCTCCCTCCTCAGGGCTTTCAGTGTAGACCAGTTTGCTTAGATGGTCATTTCTTCTGTACGCTATCTTCTTCACTCCACCTTGATCCATCTTTTGATTTGGGGAAGAAAAGACACTGTTAGAATCCCACTTCACGGTAATTTGTGAATTTAACTATCCAGATAGCTGGAAAATACACAAACAACATAACTCTAGATATGATAGCATCAATCTCACAGAGATTCTACAAAACAATGGCAATCTATAAACATCAAAATCTGCCCAGACATCAAGTTTTCTGAAATGAATCTGTAAGCCCCTTCTGTTTGCTATCTGAGAAAAAAAATAAATAAAAAATCAAAGGCAAAGCCTGAAGGCTTAGATGCCTTGTTGGACTCAAAAGTATGGTCTGTCAGCTAATTTAAGGGTAACAAGAACATGTGTGGACATGCCAAGAATAAACAAACAGGTTCCTACAGACAGATTATGCTGTTTGCTGAAGGTTTGGACATGATTCAAACTGTATTATACAATCAACTATGCGGCCTGCAAGGGCACAGATTTTACATAGGTCAGCATTTTTGCAAGGCTTTATAATTCCTCTCATCTATTTTCAAAATGTCATACTTTTTAAGTTGCTTTTGGTCACAGGCATCAAGATATACTGGGGTTTTTCACAGAGATGCCAGAGAAACTATATTTATTCGCCGGCTATACAGAACATGAAGCAAAACAGCTTTCCCCTCCCTCACATGTTGCTGCCAATTGTTGGTCAGCTTGTGTTAAAAAACATTCCTACGTTTCTCCCACGTCGCCCCAGTTTAAAAATATTTCTTATCACTAAAACAAGGACAGGCAGGCACGGTGTGGAAACCAAAGGAGCAGCATGCGTCGTTCGTATTAAGGTGACGCCGTTGTAGAAGGCGAGAAACTAAAACTGGCAGATCCCGTAAGCAGCTGCCTGCAGGCTGGGCACCGGAGCAGATAGCTTGAGTGAGCGAACTGCTACAGTGTTACTACCATATAAAAAGCAGAATAATATTAATAAAAAAAAAAAACAGGTGATATTCTGCATAATAAGCATGGTTACCAGAAAATATATTTTGATGGAATGGGCGTTTATTCTACGTTCAGGTTTAAATTGCTCTCTTTTACAAAGTCACATGAAACTAAATGGTTTAGGTAGCATTAATATGACTGTAATAATAACCTGTGAGTTAGTTTTCTTTGCTAGAAATAAAAATAAATAATTACAATAATCATTTTTGTTTAAAATTTTAGTATCACTGACAGGATGCCATAAAGCAATGATGTTTTTACCTACCAGGTAGGAGGAGGACTATAATAAACATTAAAATCTCTCCAGTTATCAGATTTCCCAATATTTCCATAGTTTTTAGGGTAAAAAAATAAAATAAAATAAAAAATCAGCAACTAAAGCCTAACAAAAGCATTTGTGGATAGGCTCCAGAGCAAGGTCTCCCAAAAACTGGCTCTGCTGTGTTTTCAAGCGACTTAAGCAGTTTGCAGGGATCTTGTTATCCACTCTGTGGGCGTAACCTTTGAGCAATGCATATCAGATCTTGTACATTTTATCTGTGGCAGAAGTCAGGACCCCCCCATTCTGGGTCATGGGGGTCTTGAGGTGATTAGGATATTTCTTAAACTGGAAAAAGAAAAAAAGAATGTGGTTGATGTACTGATAAACTAAAAAATATGAGAGTTCTTAATTTTGATTCATTCAATTATTTTTTTTATGTGTATTTATTTTTATGTCTTTGTGGACCATGCATCTGTTAAATAAATCAATCATCAATTAATAGAAAAAAAGCAATAGGATCAGTAATTGACTTGATGATCACTAATCAAAACCAATAATGAGGAAATAGGTCAATTCCAATCTAGTACAAATTTCTTACAGCATCTTTTATAATATTTTAAATATTTATTACAAGAATCAAAAAGAGACTAAAATAGCACATGCAGTAATGTATGAACTGTTTGTTTTATTTTGCCCTTGGCTTATTAGCTTTACTTAGACACTTTATAGAGCCGTATTTTGGGTCATAAACCATTGTTAATTATGTTATAGGCCAGAGACCTATTGGTTAGCCATCATCTGCTTCATTACGTGTGTTTGGTCATTACAGTTTTGCGAATGTACTGTATTAGCAGCTGGTTGGTTAATTTGCATTTCCTGGCTGTGCAGCAGCCTGGTAGTAAACAATGTGCATCACCATGTATTGATATTTCTTGGTAGTCTTCATGTTTTTACCTTTTATAGTTTCGAATTTCTTTCACCTCTGAGACGTAATTGGGCTCCGTTTCATTTATTTGCAGCTATAAAACCTTTAATTTTTTCCTCCCAACCACAAAATGTAATCTATGTAAACATCAACTCTGCGCCAGATCCCATCTCTTTGTAAATGTATTTCCTCTAAACAACTTTCCAGCAGGAGCTGTTAATCACACCAAGCACTGGAGCAAGGCCCGGGGCCTCTGGATCCTTTTGGACCCTCATCCCACTATGCATATTCAGCGGTCCTTACGACAGCATGACTGAATGGCTGGGTGAACAGCGGAGACACCCCCCTCCCGTGGCGTTTGACAGTTAGCTTAGGCTATTTGACGTTAGTTTGCAAAATAATTACAAACGTTCAGACACCTATCCCCATGCATTACACACTAATCATAACAAACCTAAACAATAAGGATTCAGCTACCAATTTAACGCAAAGATCATTAAATGTCACCGAAATCCAAGATGAGCTACTGTTAGCATTTTGCGAACTGCTAGCATGCTAGGCTGCAGAGTGGCTAAGAGTTAAAGTGGCTACATTTCGAGGGGCTAAAGGCTACCACAGGCATTGTAAGTGCATGTCTAGCTACTATTAAGTTATGTTAGTGTATTTAATCGTATGCAATAAATATAATAAAAACTATCATATTTACCCTTGATATGACAGGCTGCTAATAAGAGTCCACAGGTCATCAGTCAACATTGTTTTGGTTGAAAGTGGCAGTTCACAACACGCTGACTGATTCTGTTACTTCCCCACTCGTCGTATCGTCGCTACATGACTACACCAAACAGCAGCACTCGTGAATCTGGGTGTGTTCTGTCTGCTTTTCAGTTTCCCGGGTCCGATTTTGCAGTGAGTAGTCATGCAAAAATGTCACACTGCCTGAGCTGCGCTGCTAGCCACTGGGAAAGTAGGTGCTAACCTCCAGGAAAAACATACAAAATGGAGATCAAGGCAAGGCAGCTCCAGCGCTGACCAGCTTTCAGGGCGCAGCTCCGCCACCTGCTGGTCGGGGACTGGAACTGCGAGAGAAAGATCGATTCAGGGTCAGAGCTACAAATGGAAATCGGAGATAATAACCCAAGCAAAAAACACCAAACACAGCGATAATGGACAGAAACAGAACAATAATGCCAAAACGAACCGATTAATTATAGCATATCTCCAAGTAGCACTCCACAAGCAGATAACAACAGCAAAATTAGAACTCAAAACACAAAACTAGATTTTTGTTGTTTGGCAATACCCAAAGACTGACACCCAATGAACAGCTCATAAATGCATCCATACCTCAAAACCTTTTTGCACAGTTGATTATGTTAAAATTAAAAATTTAAACATAATTTATTAGGATTGTAGCACATATAACTGCACAAAGTAGAGCATAAGTGTCAGCCTTAAATACTGGAATTACATCTGCAAGTTTATTGGGGTGTGTCTCTAACCGGCTTTGCATATCTGCTGACTGATACGTTTACCAGGTCTTCTTTGTGAAGCAGATTGCCAGTTAGAATTAGGCCAAGGCTTTGACTGGGCCATTCTCACACATGATTATGTCTTCGTCTGAGCCAGTGCAACTCTGCCTGCAAAGTGGTTGTGTACCCTCAGTCTCAGCTTTTTTGGGGGCCTCTGTCTTGTTTTCTACAAAGACTTATCAGTTTTTAGACTCATCTTTTCATTCACTCTGGAACCCCTGTACTGTGCTGAAGAAAAACAGATCAACAGCGTGATGCTGTCACCACCATGTTTCACCATGGGGGTAAAATGCTTGTGTGGTTGTTGGAGATGATGAGCAGTCTAAGTCTTCTATTATATAAGTCTAAAGTTTTGACTTGTAATACTTGGTTACTGTGGCCCTGCATGGCTTGTAACAGAGAGCAAACATGACTCTGTATGGTTTTAAAAAGTGTTCAATGAAAAGCAGCAAAACGTGATACTTTTTTATAAACCAAAACCTGTTTTAAGCTTCTCCAAGACTTTATGTCAGTCCTGCCCACTGTGTTCCTTTGTCTTCATGAATGTCTTTGTTCATTAATGTTCTCTAAACCTCTGAGGCCGTCTCAAAAACAGCTATATTCATACTGAGGTCGTATTGCAAGTAGATCGTCTTATCCTGTAAATGCAATCGGTTGGACGAGATCTAATTTTTAGGGCATCAGAGTAAGGAGGCTGAATATAAATGCACACTAACCTTTAAGATTTTTATTTGAATGCCAATTATAATTTCTCCTCTAGTTTGCAATTGTTCACAATTATGTTGGTAAGTCTAAAAATAATAATAAAAAAAATCAAAACAAAATACAACTTTGTAGTTGTAATGTGGTAAAAATGTGCAAAGTCAATACTTCTGCAAGTCACAAAATTTATCTTAAATACCCCGTGCACGTTAAAGTTGATTTAAGACAAGCTGCAAATCAGTTCAAATTAAAGAATTTTTTTGAAAGTATGAGTTTCCTTGTATTGTAATATTCTTCAAGTATTGAGTCATCTGTTTACATACTGACCACACTGCCCTCTAGGGGCATCTAGCAACACATAAAATTGAAAGAACAACAATAAGCAAATGTATGACTAACATAGCATTACATAATGCATAATTTAGCAGAAAATGTAATTAATTGTCCCCTTCAATCAGTTTAAACTTTGTCTTCCATCAGAAACCAAAGTCTGTCTGAAAACAGCAAGATTCACTGTGTTTCTCTAAACACGCCAGTTCACACCTTGGCCTCTTTTGTGTGAAAATATGAGTGGAAGAAAAAGTGAGTGGGAGAGGATGAAATAGGACAAGAGATGCTGTGTGTGAATACGAAGAAAATCTTTGCAGAGAGGAGGATCCTTTTTGGATTATTTGGTGCTTCTGAGGTAGTGCAGTAGCTCTCCACTCATCTGACAATATATTTCTCAATGGAGTACAGCTTAGAGTACTGACGTTGATCAGAAAGGATGCAGATTTTGCACATTGTAAACATGCAAAAGGACAAGCTTTTAAATGTTTCTTCAAAGCTGCACCTTAGACAACTTCATGAAAGGGCTTGCAAGCCCTAAGCTGCCGTTTTAATGTTCCAGCAAATACAGATTTCTTACTTCACGCTCAGCTGGGAGCCATATTGTCTTACATTATTCATGCATGAAATTCAACTCCCTCCAAAATACAGAAACCAACCTTCATCGCTTTGCGATGAGCAGAGAAATAAGCGACGACAGGAGGATGTTTCTAATAGGGGGATGAGTGAGATAAGTAAGTCACAGGATTTGTAGGACATCTGGGAGGAGAATCATTTAGAAGCCAAATCTAGGACATGAAATCCTCATCTGTCACGGCTGTCCTGCGTTTGAAACAAGCCGCAGATCTAGCGGAGGTACACTTCACATCACGTCTGCTGTAGCGTTACAGTCACTAAATAGTCAAAACATTACCGTACCAGAGAGACAATGTAAGAAGCAAAACATCACATCACTGGAGAAAAGAGATCAGAGAGCTCGCTGTTGCTCTAAATCCCTACTGTTTAAATCCCACTCAGTCCCCAGCGGCTGCTTAGCAACCCCTCTCCAGCACAATATACAGTGAATTAACAGGGTAAAGCGTGACCGCTGCCTCCTCTCAAACCACGAGTCAAGGGGGCTCTCCCACCACCATTGATGCCTTCTCTTAGCACAGCAACAATATGATTTTATTATAACTTCAAACAAACGCACACGTGAAAATCAGACAAGCTGCAAACAGTGAATTTGTTGAAGCATTAAGTTTTTTTTTCCCCCTTTTTTTTTTTTTTTACCCTGGTGGTTTAGAAAAATTCATAAAACAAAAAAAAAAAAAAGAAGTCCCCAGCATTCAGGTGATTGTTACAATTGAGTCATGCACTTAAATGTGTTCATCTTGCACCTGCACACATTTGTGACCCACATAAAAGTGTATGCAAATGATTGTCAATCTTTTACTTCAGCTACGCAGCGTTTCACTTTATCCAAAGTGGATTTTGCACCCAGAGGCACTTGGCTTCAGATTTGCACTGCTGACTCTGTGACATATTCGTTTAACAGTTGCTGTGCAATCAGTCCCACACCTCTGCCTGCTTTACTGGGTTTATTCCAGAGCACAGTATTTCAGTAATGAGGCTTATTAAGGAGTTTTTGCCTGTAAAGATACGCAGCATGGGTGAAAAAATGGGACTCACACAGTGCCTTGAAAAGTTTTACTATCCCTTTGAATTTTTGTCAACAAACGTCAGTGTTATTTTATAAGGATTTATTTTTATTAGGACCAATAAATAAACCAACTCAAAACAGTGCATACTTTGGAGGAGAAAGGAAAAATGCACATGATTTTCCAAACAAAATAAAACAAAAATATGAAAATCCCGGCATACCTATATTATCAGCCCCTTTTACAAAGGTGCTACTAAATAAAACTCAGTGTGGAGAAGTCACCCTCATCATAAATCCAGATGTTTTGTGAAGGACTGATGGAGAACAACAACCTCATGAAGACCAAGGAACGCAACATTTAGGTCAGAGATAAAGTTGTGGAGAAGTATAAAGCCAGGTTAGACTTTTAAAAATACCAAAAGTCACAGAACACTGCTCTGTTCCTAATCTAAAAATGGAAAGATTGGAGGAAAGAGGTCAGAGGTGGCTCTGGAGGAGCTGCAGATATCCACAGCTCAGGTTGGACAATGTGTTGACCTGTATAATTTTGCTTTCACTTTATGCAAAAAAAAACCCTTCTCCCCCCCCCCCAAAAAAAAAACGTTGAAGTCTGTCGCTATAATGTGACAAAAATGTATCAATATATTTTCTTCACTACAGTGATCAGAGGAGCATCATGAAGCAGAGATATTCCCCAATCTGTGCGCCGTAATGAATCAAAAAAATCTACTTATCCGTAACGACGGGGTCAGTTTTCAGTGGCACCTATGGTCAAAGGTTCCATCACAAGAGCGCACCTGTCAGATTTATTTTTCATCTTAGCCCATTCATAACTGCTGCATTGCTCGCAGAAGAGGGTAAAGCTGTTCCGTGGATCTGCAGCTTGTACTTGTCACAGCGGATGAGTTCTGGAGTCACAGACGGTGACACCTAACCTCTCTCGGGATAAGCGCGTATGAATGCGCCGCGAAGAACCAAACGCTTGGATTAAAATCCGCGCCGCCGGGATGCTGGAGCCGCGTAATTCCAACCCCGAATCCCCAATCGCCAGCTGCGCCGCCCGTGGACACAGTAGAACCGCACAGATGCACCCCCCCTCCCCTCCCATCTATCAGCCCGTTTTCGTGTTGATGGACTGCAAAGTGACATTTTCCTTTAAGATGATGTAAGACTGTGCTTCACGGGTGGATTTGTTTCCTCTCCTCCGTGTCACAGCTCGGAACAACGTTATCTTAAATCTTCAGCCGGTTTGGCTGCTTCCGCACTCAGCAGTTTGGAGAGACTGGTGCGCAAAGGAGTCCCGCTTCCTGCCTCCTCCTCCTCCTCATCATCATCATCATCCTCCCAATGAGCGCGTTTCAGCATCCCAGCAGTCAGGAGGAGAGCGACAGGATGCTCTCACAATTTCTCTTCCATTTCATCCTGGATTTAAGAAGGTTGAGTTAAGATCCAGGTTTACTGAAACTTTTTAAAATTGTATTTTTGTTGTTGTTGTTGAAAGTTCGCTTTTATTCACTTCCACGACCAAATCGCAGTGGCTGCCTGTAACATGATACTGGTTATGATAATCGATGCTGGACTTTTACGCACGCACTTGAAGGATGCACCGTAGACGTACAGTTGGGATTGTTCTGTCATAAAATAAAAAGCGCTGGATGCCAGCAGGACTGCGTCTGGAATCGGGAACTCCGCTTTGGTGTCTGAGCGCCTCATCTCCATGCAGCTGCACCCCACACCCTGAACTTCTGGGACGTTTCGTGCGAGAGAGAGATGGCACTGATCGAAAACTGCAAAACGCAGCCCGCCAAAGACCAGGGCTCGGTGCAAAACCCTCCGTCGGACGTGGTTGAGCTGAACGTGGGTGGGCAGGTTTATTATACCCGTCACGCCACCTTGACGAGCTTCCCGAATTCCTTACTTGGGAAGCTGTTTTCTAACAAGAAGGGGTCTTCAAATGACTTGTCACGGGATTTCAGAGGGCGGTATTTTATCGACAGAGATGGATTTTTGTTCCGGTACGTGTTGGATTACCTCAGAGACAAGCAGGTTGTCCTCCCTGACCACTTTCCAGAGAGAGGGAGGCTGAAGAGAGAGGCCGAGTACTTCCAGCTGCCGGAACTGACCAAACTTCTGTCAGGCGACGAGCCGAAGCTGTTTCAGGATGACAGTGACTGGGATGAGGAGTCGCAGGGCAGCGATCACAGGCTGTACCCGTCTTACTCCCTGGACAGGAGGTATGGTTACATTACTGTCGCCTTCAGAGGCAGAGAGTACCACGCTGACCCCAAGGCCAAAAAGTTACCCAGGATCTTCATCAGCAGCCGGATTGGACTGGCCAAGGAGGTGTTTGGAGACGCCCTGAATGAGAACAGGGATCTGGACAGACCCCCGGACCGATACACCTGCAGGTTTTACCTCAAGTTCAAGCACCTGGAGAGGGCTTTTGACATGCTGTCAGAAAGTGGCTTTCACATTGTGGCCTGCAACACCTCGCTGACTGCGTCCTCCACGGGTCATTACGCGGACGACAGGGTCTGGTCCAACTATACACAGTACATCTTTTACCGTGAGTGAACATCTGATTCTCCGTTCTGTTTAAGCGGTGTGAGGTGGCCAGAAGGTTCTGTAAGAGGTGGCCAGATGGGGGCTATACAAGTGCATTATAATTAATTAGAATGCTGTCAAAAAGGCTAATTTATTTCAGTCCATCCATCCAGCCGCTGTCATACCTCCTTGCGAGGTTGCAGGGGGTGGCTGGTGCCTGACTCCCAGCGGGGCACACCCCGGACTGGTCTTCATTAAAAATAATAATAATAAATAAATAAAACAAATAAAACAAATAATAATAATAATAATAATAATAATAATAATAATAATAATAATAATAATAAATGAAACTCACATATTATTAACATTACACAATGTGTGTAAAGCACTTATTTATTCCCATTTAACTGATAAATTACATTTCACTTGGAAATTTTATATTACATAAGACTACTACTGACAAATATGTACTTGTGCAATGCACTACTTGGTTGGGGCTCCTTTTGCATCATGGCAAGAAGGTGATCAGTCCTTGGTTCTGCTGAGGTGTTATAGAGAGACCTTCAGCCGCTATGCATTGTTTCTAGTGTCTCATCTTCTTCCTGGCAATACACCAAAAGATACTCTGTAGGCCATTAGTCAGCGCAGCCGTCGACCAGAAAAAAATGCTCTTCTGCTTGGCTTTATGGAGATGCGGATTTCATTTTCCATCGAAATGTCTCGCCTGCCCACACTGCTTGAAGTACTGTTTCCTGGTTTATTATCTCCTGATGGACGACTGTGTTCACTTTAGATTTGTTTAAAAAAAAAAAAAAAGTGAGTGGACCAGCACAGGCAGCTGAAATGGCTCCTCAAGGAACCTGGGGTTTGGATCTTTTTGTTCTTGTTCAAATCAAGGAGTCTGTTTCATAAGTGAACTGAAATCTTTACCCCCAGTTCAGATGCTTTTGACAATGTCTCTGGTTCAGGAGTGAATTAATAAAAGGAATCCAACCGTTTCAGTTCATATCATGCTTATTTCAGGTGGATCTTAAAGCATGATATGAACTGCAATTCACAAATTGTGAATCAACCCAGACTCTTGGACATATAGATTGGTTCACTCTTCTTCTGAGGGCTTTGCTTGTCCATTTATTTTCCCCACCACATGTTTTTCTTCCACTAAGTGTTCCATTAAAAGCCTTGGACACAGCACTTTCTGAACAACCAGCTCTTTTTGCAATGACTTATTGTGGTTTGACCTTCTTGTGGAGGGTGTCAATGAGTGTCTGCTGCACAACTGCCAAGTCAGCAGTCTTACCGAAGATTGCGTAGGCTGCAACAATATGATTTTTGTGTTAAAATCCCTTTCTATTAATCTTCTACTTTTCTAGAGGACTGAATTGTGGATTTCTGTCCCCCTTCAGCCATTTATGTAAAATCAGATAGAAATATATGTGATATATTGCTCTGAGTGCAATAAAGTATATGAATTTTGTTTTTAGTGTTAATGAAATGAATTAACTTTTCAATGATTTTCAAATTTTCTGAGGTGTGCCTGAGGTCTCGTGGTGGCACATCAAAAGCTAAGCCATAGCAGAATTTCTGTAATTTAATTAAGGTACATCAATATGGTGGAAATTTTGCACTGACAAGAAAAAAAATCAGGGATTTAAAAAAAAAAAAAATCTAGTAGTCTGTAGTTTTATAATTTAAAGTACTTACATTAGATATGTTGGAACATACTTTTAACTCACACAAAATTTATGTATAAACATTTTATTTTCATAATTGATAAATTAATATGTCCTTCCCTTCCCTGACAACCTATGTGTCAATTCGCAGTAAATTGAAAAATCAGCCATACAAAAAAAAAACACAACAATGGGGTGGAAAAAGAAGAAGAAGAAAAAAAAAGGCGAACTCCTCCTCCCCGAACCCATTCCCTGTAAATGTTTAAATCCCTTTCAGCGGCTTTCCGCAAACTTCTGTCCGGAGTCCGAGATTAGAGGCAGACTTGTTCACGGCCCCCCGAGGAAGTTGAGTCACAATGCCACCACACTTCAAGTACACATGTGTCATGCGTAAATGCAGCTTACTGCTCGGGTCCTGACAGCCTCTGGGTTATGAATAATATAGCACCAGTGGGCAGCAAAAAAAAAGAGGAGAAAGAGATATAACATGCGTTGTTCTGAGTCAGTTTTACTTGGGAACAAAGACTGTGGATCAGCTAATATCTTAATTAGCGGCAAATCTGGCTCGTTCCTTTGAAGGGAAGAGAGACATATGGGCAATTAAAAAGCACTTTGTTCATCATCCTGAATTGTTCTGAATGGCTCCCTTTAGAAAAGCCTTGAAAAAGTATATGCTCACATTTTCTCACTTTAGCACCACAAACTTTTGTGTGTTGTTCTGGGATTTCATGCTGCCGACATAAAAAACAAACATGCATTTGTGAAACCATTGTTGAATATTGCAGTTAAGATGAACTCACTTTATTCTGACACTTTTCTTTCTTTTCCTTTATCACATTGTCCTCGCCCCTAATTGTGGCCTTTAAAATTATACATTAAGCATGGAGATTAAGGGCAGTGAAAGTCAATCCATACATCTTTGCATGCATGTTAGTTCAAAATGATATACTGCCAAATATTGCATTAAAATTGTTCTACGCTATTGTAAAGTAGCACACATTAAAACCGCAGAGAGAATTTGCAATTAAATGTATAGTCAATGTCCTTTGCTGTGATATTCCTAGAGAATCCAGCACAACAAATGTGAGAAAGCTGTGCACTGCACACTGCACATCTCACTGAAAACACTATCACTATGGTGAAACATGGTGGTGGCGGTATTATGCTGTGGGGTTGTTTTTCTTCAGAAGATTGATGATGGAAGGATGAATGCAGGGCACTCCTGGAAGGGAACCTACAAGAGGATGAAGAAGACTTGAGACTGAGTCGACCTTCTACTTGTGTGGACGTCTTTATGCTTTACAGTGTTCGTCTGTCATAAAATCCTCATAAAAAATTTACGTTTTTGACAAAATGCAAAACTTTCTGACATGAATCATTTCTAGAGGCTACAGTCGGAGGGTACTACTGTCTTTCAAACAGTGCAATTTTTTTTTCACCAAGCGCTTTGCTTCGACTTTCTGAAATAACTCACTGTGTATGGGATTTCCTGAGTCATTCATTATTCTCAAGCAGAGCACAGAGTGTAGGTGTTCTCCTCTTTCTCTGTTAACAAACATCGCCCTGGGATGAAGTCAGGGGGAGGATGAGAGGGCGCTGAAGTCCATCCAGCACGACGAGCAAAGCGGGACGAAGAGGAGACGAGAGCCAAAGGAGTTGCGAGGAACCGAGGAGAAGAAGGGAAAAGGCTGCAGAGGAAGTGGATGGCTGGATGAGGGAGTAAAAGTTGCATGAGACTTGGCCACGTTGAGAGGGAACTGAGGCAGAAGGAGGCAAGAGGGAGAGGGAACAAAAATAGATGAAAGTAAGGAAGAGACAGGAAAGTTCGTCGAGTGTGAGGAAGCGGTGGGAGGAGAATATTTTAGGTGATAAGACAGACTCAGGAGAGGAGAGGATTGCTTTTCATTAGAAGAGGGCTACACTTAGAGGAAACATGCATGTTCACAAAAACGGAACATGCAACATGCATCATGCTGATGTGCCTGTCCATCAGCATGATGGACGGACACATCAAAAAGCAGGCAGGCGTGAGAGGACCTTGCTTCATAGCATCACCGCGGCCTGAATCCACCATCAGAACTAATACCGTAACCTCAATGTGAATGTGGGACACTGGAAGGCCTAGAGCAGGTAGTCCTGATGAAACAATGCAAGCAGACAAACAGAAATATTAGGAGGAGGGGTATGAACCAGATCACAAGCCTAATTGTTGTTTTGTTGTTTTCTTTTGGCAGAACATCGAGCTGCTTTTTGCTTAACCCCCCCTTACCTATGCAAACATCCAAACACCAACTCATATGGATGGAAAACGATACTCCAAGATGAGCTAAGTGAGAGAGTTTGCTTCCAGCCCGCCGGTTGCTTTGCATCATTCATGTTGCTCTTCTTGCTAAATGCATCAGTAGTTTACCACACAGCTCCACAGATTCTCCACATTACCGTGGACATTTCATTTTGCATAAAGCTGTACTGTAAGTGCTCTTTTCTTCCTGGTATGTTCTCTGTTCAGCCATTCAGGTCTTCACTTTCAAGGTTTTGGTTCATTTCTCAAACCCTGTTGAAAGTATTCTTTTGTTTCAGACAAAGAGAGATAAAAAAGGGGGCAGAACTTGAACAAAAGGGCACTCTCATCAAGCCGTCACAGTAGCATCATAATTTAGGAGCCTTTTCAACTGATGGGCAAGATGAATTATAATAATTTAAGCAAGTACTCAGACCAAATTGGAATGAACTGATTAGACGGCTTAGAAAATAGAAGAATATATAATTATAGTATTATGGAAGCTCAGCCTATCATGATTGGAAAATATGGTAGTTATTTGTTGTGGATAAATTAAACATTCAGTGCCATAAATGTGTATTTGCCCATGTTATATTTTATTGCTAAAAACAGAAGTAAAACATATCTGCACAGTGGGCAGTTCATGAGAGTAATAGCTTGTGTTTTACATCAATGTTTTACATAATAGCTTGTGTTTTAAATCAATACCAAATACACCCGGTAGATGAGGATACATCGTCATAGTTACCAATAAACATGCTTTATGGAAGTGAAACAGCTCATGATTGACTTGAGCTGTTTGTGTTTCATGAAAGAAAGAGCACATTTCGCAATGGCAGCAAAACAACAACTACAAAAAAAAAAAAAAAATCCAGATAGTGCACTAAGGCCTCTTGCTATTTGAATAACACCATATTCAGGCTCATATGAGAGAAGACTGAAATAAGGATCTGCTCAAAAAACATCCATTCTTCCATGTCTGTTGGTCCATACAGTGCCATGGGGGACCATTGTCTATTTCCTGCTGTCAACAGGGAAAAGGCAGGGTATACCTTGGACAGGTCGCCAGGGCAACACAGAGACACACAGGGAAAACAACCATCCAAGCTCACACTCATACTTCATGGTGATTTACAGTAACCTAAAGGTCACGTGTTTGGACTGTGACATGAAGCTAGGCTACCTAAGACGACCCACACATGCAAAGGAGGAACATGCAAACTCTGCAGGCCGGCTCAAAGAAAAAACATTTTGAGGTTTAAACGCAACATTAACTGTCCAAAGAAATTCAAAACTTAGATTAAACTAAATTCTTGCTGATGCCTTGTCATTATTATTATTATTATTATTATTATTATTATTATTATTATTATTATTATTATTATTATTATTATTATTTAGCAGAAACAGTCAGGAATGAATATTTGCAGTACTTACAAAAAATATTGTATTCCAAAACTATGCTTTACATGTTGTCAGATATAAAAAGTCCATCATTATTGTTGTTATTAACACGTTAAAGATTCCAGCCGGTTGTCAGCTATGTCTGAGGAGAGATGCGTCATGAAGGCAGTATTCAGCTCCAAAGTTTCCCTCCCCTTCTCCTCCTGCACTCACTGAGACACAACAGAGTGTTCAACCTATTTCTTCTCAATGATTTGAAACTGGAAACCGTGTCGTACAAAAGGAGGACTTTAATTTGGTTCATTGGTTTACAACTAGCTGTCATCTTGCATGAAATAAGTCCATAACCTTGTCTGAACATACCGACTCCTTGTCAAAGCGACAGAAATCATCGTTAGACCCCGAAAACCTGCAACTCCAGAGGCAGAAATCATCTCGGACTCTGGCAGAGTCAGTCCCAGTCAGAGTGGGGAGAAATGTACCGTTGGATAGAGAACGGTTCCTGGATGTGCTTGTTAAAATAAATCCAGAGCCTTCAGTTCGGTCCACAAGCCGGTGATGTGTGGCCATAATTGCTGTTGAACAGTGATAACAAGACAACAGGGAGGGACAGGGAGAGTAATCTATTGCTTGGGTCCAAAAGAGGAAGAGATTGGCCCATTGCTGAGCTCTCACAGAGCCTGGTTGGAGAGCGGATTGGCAATACCTACAAGAGACGAATGATGTTCCTGTGAATAACTCATTTATGTCCGTAACAGCACCTTTGCAGAGGAATGGTTGGCAGTAGGAGGAGAAATGTGAGTCGGAGTCTTTGCACCTCATCAATCTAAAGCAGGCAATCTGGCCCAACTCTGGAAAGAAATCAATTTATTAGGAAGAAACTGATATAAAAGAAAAATCTAGTTCTTGAAGCTGTCCAGTGAAATACACACATGGTTTTACTGTTTGCATAACCCTAAACAATTAGCACATTCATTGACATTTAATCAACTGTTTCCTTTTTTAACCTGAAATACTTTATGATTAATTCATAAGTACACTTACAGGAATTAAAGATTAAGTAGTCCCCCACCTTAAAAAAAGCTCTTCTATTACACTATTTTTAATTGCCTCTTATCTTCGCTGCGTCCTGCAAGACAGTTGACTCTTAATTAAAAGTGCAGTTTTGACAGATTAACAAAGTGAGACTTTTAAAAAGCAACATTTCACATATGAGAGGGAATAAGAGGCTAAACTCTCACTTAATTTAAACCTTCCACCAATTAAAATCTCCAGCATGCCTCCCACTTAGTATTATTGTCCCTTCTTCTGCTATTTTTGTACCTTGAAGTAATCAGAGGGCAGGTATAAAAGTTCTTCCTGGATCTGACACACAATACCGTAATAATCACTCCAGAGGCACTTAATGGCTGCTTGGATGAGAATCTTCTTACATGCTGAGTGTTTTCTGAAGACAACAGGATTCAAAGTGTTGGTATGCAGAAGGAGACGTTTGCAGATTGGAGCTTTTTGGAGGGGTGGGGGGAAGTGCATTAAACTCTTCTCTGACCTGACAAAGTTAAAAATGGGTCATTAACAGAACATCCATATAGTGCTTTGCAAAAGTATTCATATCCCCAGATCTTTGCCTCATTTTGTCATGTTACAGCCACAAGCTGAAATGAATAAATCAATTACGGTGGAAAGTTTTTACGGTATGCCCCCAGCAGGTCAAGAAATTGAAATCGGTCCCTACAGTAGTTTTTCTGTAAAATAGCTCCAGCTCAGTCAGAATATTGAGAATATGTCTTGTCGTAAATCCAAACCACCTCGCTCTTTGTTTAGAGCTCCCTCTGAATTACTGAGTTTTCTCCAAGTGACTACCTAGAT